AAACTCGTTTCTGCGTTAAATAAAAGTAATTTAACCCCTGATTAATAAGTCTTGAGAAAAATCCATCTTGTAAAGAATTTATGGTTCTTAGTTAACGGATCAATGGCGTGGGCAAGAGGAGGATGGGAATTGCCAGTCAAGATGGAACCCTATTAACATCAACTGACTATCAAGTTTCTGGGATCCTAATGAATTACTTCAGCCAATCATCACCTCTCGAGAGCACGAAGATACCCCATCGTTATACACTAAGATTGCCTCGTCTATTTGCATAATCAGTTTTTTCTTCGACGCCAAGTAAAAACTATTCAAGACCTACTTCCATCAAATTTCGAAATTCAACAGCTTAAGAGTAACAATAAAGGATTCATGTAACTGACTCAAATTAGCATCTTCCAACACCCCCATCAGTTAATCAGCAGTCAACCGTATATTCTCGTGGCACAAAAATCCTTCTATTCAAATAGAACAATTCACATTTAAACCCAAAACAAACTGAATAATTTAGAACAACAAAGCATGTACTACTTGTGTGCTCAACAGTGGTAGGTCAAAACATTATTTAGAAAAGTGCTTACAGCTCTTCCCCAGCATGCAATGCAGTAATTGCAATCACCAACCTGCTATCAATACCAATAAATCAAGAAACAAGAAACAGGAAATGTGATCAACTATATTACAGCACTTAAGTTTTCAGGACCACTTGGGCTGGCTATTCCAATTCTTACAGTGCCTAATGCACTCTGCCATGTCATAAGAAGATAATTGGCGTAAGATACTAGTACAACAGTCATTACACATCCCATTTCTCTACATTACACACTGAATTGTAGAAGGTAGCTGTATCTTAACTTATATTAAAGGTTTTTTACCTACTACAAGTCACCCTATAAACTCCTGATTGAATGCCTCAACGTCATGTCAAAGTGATTTTCCTCAAGAAAGCAACCAAGTTATATTTTCAGTAACATTTACAAATATTGCAATATATTCATGGAGTTCAGTGGTGAAAATCCCCATTGGAACTTGGTAGATGAAGAAAGGAAACATATAAACTTACCTCGAAGATTTTCATTTGGAAACAATGAGGCTGATACCGAATTTGCTTCAGCAAGAACATCTTGTGTGTCCGCTGCTTCAATCCCACTTTGGCCTATTAGTCCCGAGACGCCATGGACACGTTCTCCTGTGCATACCTCTTTGTCCCCGCCTCTTCTGTATCATTGCTTAGCTTCACTCCATCGAAGTGAAGGTAACATCTTCTCTATAGCAGTCACAAAGGACTTCGTTTTTACAGGGTCAGAAAGCAGTAGGATCCATGCATGGAAACAACCAGATTGTGCAGAGATGGGATATATCAAGTCTACAAGTGGTGAAATTCGAGCCATCTTAGCTTATGGGAAAATGCTTTTCGCCACACATGGAGATTACAAAATCCGGGTGTGGGATGTTTCATTGACAGAAAACTTTAGACCAAAGAAGACAATCACCTTGCCTCGAAGAAGATCATTCTTTTCCTATCAGAAGAAGAATAGTCAGCGACATAGAGATTCTATCTCATGCATAGCATACAATCACAAGGAGAAGCTCTTGTATACAGGATCATGGGATAAAACAGTTAAAGTGTGGAGAATCTCAGAAAAACTATGTGTCGACTCGTTTGTCGCTCATGAAGGTCATGTCAATGCAATTGTCTTAAACCAGGAAGATGGATGTGTCTTCACCTGTTCTTCTGATGGCACAGTGAAAATATGGAGAAGGGTTTTCAGAGAGAGCTCACATATTTTGACCATGACACTTAAGTTTCAACCATCTCCAGTGAATACCATAGCTTTATCTCTCTCCCCCAGCGAGTGCATCCTCTATTCAGGCTCATCAGATGGACTGATAAACTTCTGGGAAAAGGAAAGAATGTCTGGTAGGTATAATCATGGAGGATTCCTGCAAGGCCATCATTTTGCAGTTCTCTGTTTAACAACAATAAAAGATCTAATCCTTAGTGGTTCAGAGGACGCAACCATTCGAATATGGAGGAGAGAAGATGGGAACTCCTTTCATTCATGTCTTGCAGTTATTGATGGTCATCATGGACCCATCAAGTGCTTGGCTGCTGCTCTAGAAACTGAGGAAACCATGATGGGGTTGTTAGTATATAGTGCCAGCCTAGATCAAACTTTTAAGGTATGGAGAGTCAAAATTTATCCCGCAGAGAAAGAGAAACAGGAGAAATCGGAAGCAAATGACCAGCACGCAAAAACTACAGATTGCAAAATGAGTCCAGTGTTATCACCTTCATGGGTAGAGAAGAAGATTCAGGGAAGTGATTTCTAAAGTAGGAGAAGTAATAATAAATATAATAGCAGAACTAGCAATCACTGGAAAAGACAACGGTAGCCCAACCCCCACTGAGTACTTTCAATCAATATACAACTTAAGATCATATAATCTATATTTGATGTTGTATATCTCTGAAGTATTTGCAGTTTATAGTAGATATATCTAAAGTAGAGGTAGCTTTTGTAGGCAACAGATATATCATCATCACCAAATTCTCTCTATTAGAAGAGGAACTGAAAAAAGAATCCTTCCAAAGACTTGCTGCATTTTTTCCTGTTTTTAGTTTCACCAGCAATTACCCTGCATAAAGCATGTACTCCCTGCACTACTTAAATGAACTTTACAACAATATCTACGTATCAAGTGAAAGTTAGGGATTCAGCAAAGTCCCAGTTTTGGCACACATCACAAAAACCATAAACATCTCTTTAATTCAATTAATCCAAACCTGGCCCCATAATGTCTTTATTTTGGATCCAACCGCTGCAAGGTACTAGAGAACCATACCATTGTGAAATGACAACAAAATCCATAGTTTCCCTCAGAAACTTCCTGGCCTTGTTAGACAAGATCCAATGGAAGTTTGAGGTCAAGCAAAAGCAAGCATTACTGTCGTGGCCATGCCGAATTCCCGTGCAGTAGTAGTTGGTTATAGTCGTTGAAAGAAGGAATCATTCTTCGTTTCTCATTTTTATTTGAAGAGGCAGACAGCCTTTTCTCCCAGTTCTGGAAGAAAGAACCTTATTTGAAATAAACTAACCTACCTTATATAAAGTAGATCTAATGCAGACCAATATCTTCACTTATACACAAATAAGCCCTAAAGGTTATGTTTCACAGAACATGCATAAGAATGAGTGGACTACCTTTTCACAAAGCTTATGCATTCCCCTTCAGTATCCGTAGATACCCTTCTAAGCGCAAACAAAAACAGAAGGGGAAGAGACTAACCACCATTGTACACCACACAAAGAGCAAGCTGGACGAAAACCTCTCTCTCATCTCGTGAACTAGAAGTATGAAGAGGGAGAATTATATTATTAGAGAATATCAAAGTAATTTTTTTCTTCAACACGGTAGACTGGCAAACACAAGATAAATTAGGTTTAGCCTGTTAGTATCTTTTGTAGTATAGTAGATTTGATAGCAATCTTTGAGGAAGCAAAGAGGCTATTCAGGTGCCACCAACAATTTGAAGAAAGTTCAGCTCCGGTAAAATTACTAAAATGAAACAGAAGATTTGAATTGTGTCTTTGGCCAATGAATTCCATCATTAATAAATAAAAAGCTCCTATCTTCTCTTGAAAATAGAAAATAATAATATGCCTTTCTTTAAAAGCTTCACTGTGAAGCAACTGATTACAATACAAGCTGAAGAACATTAACAACCACTAGAGCGCGAGAACTTTCCAAATATTACATTCTATTCCTACTATACGAGAAGGTCGAGCTTTCTTGTATAACGGAAGATTCCTCAAATCAAGCAACCAAAAATCAACAAGATCAGCAAGCAGATAAATAGCCAAGAATCAAGGGTGTAACAGTCCAAATATTCAAGTCAATATTCTTTGTAAAAGTCAGTCGTAATTTCAGGATCGTTACTTAGAATAGACTCTGTAAAATTGTATATATTGTCATACGATCAATTGTAAATGTTCGTGAATATTTTTCCAGATTTTGATAGCAATGCAATTTCCTTTGTTATCATTCAAAATTCATCATGGTATCACAATCCGTTAAGCTCCAACGAGCAATTTGATCCGATTAAGACTCAAAAAAAAAAAAAATGAGCACGCGAATTTCAAAATTGGTCTTCTCAAACAAGCCACTATCTTGAGAGGGCATGTTAAGGGATACAATCCTATATCGAATAAAGATGAAAACTAATTTATAAGAGTTTGGACTACTCCTCTTAATAAGGTTGATCTTTTAAGATGGACCCCCAAATTTTTAACATGGTATCAGAGCAAGATATCTTTAGCACTAGCCATGTTGGTCTTTGACAGAAAGTCTCTAATATACTTGTGTTGGGACAACAAAATACAAGAGGTAGTGGAAATTACTTTCATTCCCAAGAAAAATATGAAATTGCCCCATATCTTTTATAGAGAACCGAGTGCCAAGTTTTTGAATAATTTTAGCCACAAAATTCATATCATTTCCAGTGATCACCAAATCATCCACATAGACTAGTAAATAACAGATAATAGAGTTGTAGTTGTATACAAATAAAGATGAGTCAGCTTTGAGTTTTGAAAACTAAGATCAATGATTTCCAATTTAAGAGCCGAATACCAGGCTCTAGGTGTCTGTTTGAGGCCATAGAGAGCTTTACGTAACCTGTACACATGATTAGGTCTGAATTCATCTTTAAATCCTGGTGGCCGAACCATGTACACTGTCTCAGTCGACTCACCATGCAAAAAAGCATGTTACCATCTAGTTTCCTCCCTATCTTCTTCTCCTTCTTCTTCTCTGCCCTTAATGCAGCTTCTTCTCTTATTCCTCTTCTTCTTCTGCTGCTGCTTCTCTGTTCCCCCTCTACTGGTCCATATCTTCACTTTTATATTTGTCATTTTAATTGTAATTCCCTACATTGTAATAGAAGTTGAGCTCCAACCATTACAAGTGTTATCAAATCAGTATGTGAGCTGGGGAAGAAAATGGAAAGTTTTAGCAAAAATCAGGAAGAACAATTTGAAAGGATCGAAAACAAACTGAGATTTCTGAGCGTGACTACAAAATCATGGGATCAAATGTTGAAGGTGATCGACACTAAGTAGGATAGGATGGAGCAATTGATAGGGGAAATGAAAAGAAAAAATGAATTGATCATCTCAATGTTGACCAAAATGATGGAGGCTCAATCAGTACATATCCCTAATAGCATTACTGGAATATCTGGCGATTGCTGCAATGTGCAGGGAAAAGATTCTGAAGGCCACTCAATAGCAGCTGGTGTTAGCAAGGTAATTAAAAATTATTTTACCTTAGAAGATTTCAAGTAAGACATAGTCTCAGTAAATCAAGATATTGAGGTGCCTGTTTCTGATGATAATTTAAGTCAATATGCTCAATCTCTGCCTAAGTATATGGGTAATACTAGGCTTCCTAAGGTTGATTTTCCCCACTTTGGAGAAGAAGGACCCCGTGAATGGCTTAGGAAGGCTATTGAATACTTCCAGATACACCAAGTTTTTGATGAACTTAGGCTAGGAATTGCAAAGATGTATTTGGAAGGGAGGGCTTATGTATGGTTTTATGGATTCATTGTTAATCACCCTGGAGCAGGCTGGAGGTTGTTTTGTGATGAACTTTCCTGGAGGTTTTCAGAAACTATTGAAGAAGAAGCGTGTATTTTAGGAAAAATCCCAAAATAACGATGGTTCAGGAATTTTGTTGGATGATCATAAAGATGAGAGTGTGGAAAAAGAAAATGTTGGTGTTGAGCATGGTGAGAGTGAGGAGTATGAACCTAAAAAGATACAAGGAGGTGAAGTCATGGAGGTATCAATCGATGCTTTAGTTGGAAGTCCGAAGCACAAAACTATTACAGTGCCTGGGATGATTAAAGGGAGAAGAGTGTCTATATTGATTGATAGTGGGAGAACCCACAGTTTCATTGAGGAAAAACTAGCTAAGGAGTTGAAATATGTCATTGATGAAACTAACAAGGTTACAATTAAGGTAGCAAATGGGAAAACACTAGAAAGTAAAGCCTTGGTCACCCAGTGATGTGGAAGATTCAGAGATGGGAATTTCAATTCAAACTCAGGAGACTTAAGATATCAGGGATTGACATGGTACTAGGGGTAAATTAGATGAATCAGTTTAGTCCAATCACATTTGATTTTGTACAAGGGTGTGTCCAGTTTTCTGAGAAGGCTCACAATGATAAGCAGTCCAATACAGAAAAGCCTCATATGAGGACTTCATTTGGTGCTCTATCTGAGAATGGACAAATCCTCACAAATGGCACAAAGGAAATTGGTGAATTGCTTGAAGAGTTTACTAGAGAGACCGATAGTGAATCTAGGAGTGACGCTGTTGAGCATGTTGATAATGATGATAAAGAGTCTGATGAAGATAATGAAGGTGAAAGTGAAGATAATTATGAAGACGGAGTTGAACCTGCTTCTCATAAGGATGATAAAGTGCACGTTAGGGCAGAAATGATGCTTGCAGAAAAAACTGATGTTATTCATTCAGTCCACAAAGGTGGAAAAAGTATTGGAGAAAGAGAAATTAATGCATTGCTGCTTCAACATGGTGATGTGTTTAAAGTACTTCCGGTTCGAGCAAACACATCTTGCACTACCTGCTCAACCCAAGGATGGTGAAGAGAATGAGGCAGCTAACTTCATATAAAGAAGACATCCAAACCTTTAACCTTGAGGACAAGGTTAATTTAAGGGGAATGGATGTTATGACTAACTTGGTCCATCTACTTTTGGGCTTGTATCATTGTGGGCTACCCCAAGCCCTTTAATTTTAGGGTCCTTTTGTTGGATATTAGGTTGTATTGAAGCTTTGGAGGGATGTGAATTGATGAATTGGCTTGCAGCCCGTGTTCTTCCCCATTTCCTCCCTGTCTTCTTCTCTGCCCTTCCTGCAGCTTCTTCTTCTTCTTCTGTAAGTTTATTGGGCCTCAG